TGCCACCGACGGTGTGTTTGTATTTTAATCATGCAACTAATAAATGTTAACAAGGCAAGCAGAAATAAACACAGACGCGTAGAAAAATAAAAATGTGTTGAGTTTGTGCAAACTTCACGTCCACATCCTGTTGTTGGCTTTCACTTCCGTTGCAGGGGCGGTGCGCAGCGAGAGTGAAAAGCATAAATTTTTTTTTTTGCTTAATTAGAGATTTTTCCACAAACATATGCATGTATACTTATAATGAAGCCTTTAAATAAAATTAATTGCAAACATAAAAAACTAGCTCCAATTAGCACTGACCAAAGCAAACTTTTGCTTTCGCTGCCCAGTAACTATTCACAGGATATTGTGGTTAAAAAAAATAATTTATTTTAAAACTAACTCAATTTGAAAATTATTAAAGTTATATGTGGTAAATTAATTAACTCAATAGAAAAAATATTAAGCCTCAACTTGTTTTTCTATAAACTGAAGGTCATTTGTTAATGCTATGAGTGAAATTAGGCAATTGATGAACGATCTGCCGCGAAAAGTGGATTTCTGTGTTTTAATTGATTTTAAATCAGTATAAAATGGATATTATCTAATTAGCAATAATCAAGATAACAATTTTAAATGCAGACTTTTGTTCAAAGCCTAATGAAAATGGTTTTTTTTTTGTTCTCAAATATTACTCCTAAAGATCATACCTTTATTTCGGCAAGAGTTGACTTAAAACCAAGACTACGTAGTAACGATCTTCACTGTTACACATCACTGAGTTTTGAAATTTTTTTTTTTAGTTTTAGAAAATTCTATTATACGAACAAAAAACCAAGATTGTTTGCAAAAACAACACACAAAAAGTTACAAAAAAAAAAAAATACACCTTTGGAAAGAGACATGGGAGAATAAATCGACAATGGTTTCCTTCTTCAGTAAGGGTAGATCTTAAAAATGTGCTCATGAGAACTTAATTTTAAAAATTTTCGAAAAGCTTACTTAAAAGCTTTGCATCGAATGACTCTATTTTTCAAACAAATTTTAATATTTTATATAAAAAAATATAAAAGATAAGATATTGTGGCTTGAAAGTCCTTCTATGCAAGATCTACAGAAATTATTCACAGACTTGTCCTTTTATAAGGAATTTATTTTTAAAGCTTTGGAAAAGCTCCTCAGATGGCACTATAGGAAATCTTTTTTTAGTTCTATTGAGTTTTTTAGCAATACTTGCGCAGTTCATGATACAAATAGTTTATAAGTTTGATTTTATAGAATTCAAAAAAAAAAAAAAAAAAATAAAAAAATAAAAACTTTTTAAAAAAATAGGGGTTTTAATAAACTTTTGAATTTCATACCTCAAAAACTTAAAAAAAGACCACATTTTAATTTTTTGAGAGATGGCAAAGAAAAATAGTATTTATTGCTCTTTTGCTTTCAAGCAATTAAAGTTTTTAAACAGATGGCGCTGCAGACATTTTTTCCTATTAAAATGAGTTTTCTTATTAAGATTAAAAGTAATTGATATGTGAAATTATTTTTGCTTATTTTAATTTCCCAGAAACCTTTGTCCACTTAAAAAAAGTCTAGTTTATAAAGAACTCTATCTCACAAAAGTGTTACCGGTGCACATCTAGTGTTTAATATTCTAGGAACTTTATTTTCGCTTGGGCATTGTATAGCTTTAAGAATAAACACACAATACCCCACAAAATTGCACATTACCTGACCTCCGCTGCACTTTCGTTTAAACACAATGTTGTCGAAAGGGAACAACTACAATCATGCTTATACATATCCACATTAAAGCAATAGAGGACGCCACGCTTGAAGCCACTTTATTGCCATAGCGGCGGTAGGTGACCTACAAAATAGTAAACAAAAGGACCACTACCAAGGAAGCCAACGGACCGCGGAAGTGGTTTGAAAGGAAAAAATTAAAATGAAAGTGAATTAAAGCCACTGAAAATGTGATAGTTGTGTGGAGATCGCTATGTGTTGTGTAGTCGTGCAAACAATGCATTATTAGCGGAACAATGAGGGAGCGACCATATGGTTTAACGTACGTATGCCGGATTGCCGGTTGAACAAATCTGTATGTATACAAAGGAGTGAAGGTCAACTGCCAGGCGTATGCAGTGCGTACTATTTGGTATAGTCTTACACTTATTTGCCTTTTACTCACAATAAGCAGAACATATGTATACTGAACACATACGTATTCATTCATTGTAATTAAAAACCACTATCACACATACGCCCCGCGGCACCAATGGTCGCAGGTTTTTGTGGTTCCCTTAGTTAGTTAGTTGCTGCTGCTGCTGCAGTTTTTTGGTAATTCCACTTTCGCAACAAAAAAAGAAATGCCATTTTGAGGAATCTGCTAAAGCAAATGCAGCAGAGCCTGTGTGCGAGCTTTCAACTTTATTGCTTTGTCTGTGTAGTGTTGTATTCTTTCTCAAGCTCCGAGTTTGGCCATAAATTAGTGAATTAATGACCGAAATGCGAGAGGTGTGGTTGGCTTAGTCAGTAGTGTGGATGAAAAAATTGCTGCAACATTTTGTATGGCACTTACATTACCGGCATTTTAACCACTTGTCGTATACAACGAGAATAATAAAATAAAATGAATAAAACTGAAAAAAAGAAAATAAAATAAAATAAAATAAAATAAAATAAAATAAAATAAAATAAAATAAAATAAAATAAAATAAAATAAAATAAAATAAAATAAAATAAAATAAAATAAAATAAAATAAAATAAAATAAAATAAAATAAAATAAATTAAAATAAAGTAATTTAAATCTTTATAATACAAATATATATATTTATAAGGTACTAAACAATTTATAGTAAGGATTATTGTGCTCTCTCGTATTTTCTTCTAGGGAACATAAACTTGTTGAGCACCTCTCTCTTTTATTGCATTTGTTTGTGTAAACTTGTTTTATGTGTTCGCGAATTTAATCTTTATTTCATAGCAATTTTTTCTGAGTAACGCTTCTTTGTAAGCATGGAATTCCTTTTATGCATGTCTTATTCGTCGGCACAGAAACATCAAGAAGCTTCATGAAGCAAATATTTCCGCTTCACTTTTTTTCAATTAAAACTGAAAATTTAAACGGTCACAACTTGCAGGTGGAGCCAGCTTTTGAGAATGCATTGATTTAAATTTCACCCCCAATAAATATTTTTTCGGTGGAGATAACTAGGGAAAAAATTCTGCTTAAGATATCTAAGAAAAATAATTAAAAATTTGATTTTAGTTATTAGCAGTTGATATTTTAAAATTATTTTACAACCAAAAGGATAGCATCAAACCTCATTTTCAGATTACTTTTTATCTTGTGAAGTTTTTTTTTCCAAAACATTTTTTTTACAAATCAAAATCCCGAAAATCATTCAATCTTGCCCTAATGCTCTAACAGTACAAAAATTTTCGCGTAATTTTCGTGGAAATCATTGAAACCAATGGTGTACTCAAGTAGCAAGAGCTTAATCAAACTCGTGCTTATCAGTCAGCTGTGTCGTGTGGCATGCAGCATGTGGCATGAGTTGTGAATGCCTAACAACATATTAACATTGACAATGACAATGGCCGCAACAATAACCATGGACAACGTCGTCATAAATAAAAGTAATGGTATGAAGTTACGGCTTAACGCGCCGAGCAACAGGTGTGACTGTAATTTCGTGTTTTGCGTTTTGCCTTTAAAGGTTGCCAGCAACTAAAGCGGCAAGGTAGCGTTGGTATTGTCAGCAAAGGTATTAAATATGAATTTTTGAAATAACTTTGCGCGTGTGAGTAAATATATAAAAACATATATATGTATATATATAATAAATAAAATATATATATATTTATATGTATATACGAGTATATTAGAAATATTGGATGAGTGCATAAGTTCGTGCCCGATTCCGCTGGATGCCGTTCGAATCGTTTGAGAGTGGCGCTCGTGAAAGAAATATATACATTTTATATATCGTTAAGAAATGGTTCGCGAAATTTCGTTCTGGAGATTTTAAACTCGAAGATCAACCTCGCAGTGGACGGCCTTCTGAGCTTGATGACGATGTTCTAAGGACTTTAGTTGCGAATAACTCACGTATTTCGACGGAAGAGGTTGCCAGTGAATTGAACGTCAACAAATCAACTGCGTTTCGTCGTTTACAAAAGGTTAGGTACACTTTGAAGCACGATACATGGGTGCCACATCAGTTGAATGAAAAAAACAAAGTGGACCCCGTGTGTCAACAGCAATTTCTTTGCTTCGACGGATCAAAAACGAACCTTTTTTGGATCGCCTCGTAACTATTGATGAAAAACGGATGTTATACAACAATGTTCAACGCAAAAGAACATGGAAACAGGCACACGAAGGGGCGGAACCGATGTCGAAGGGTGGATTGCATCTGATGAGGGTACTGCTGTGCATTTGGTGGGATATCCGAGGCGTGATCTATTTTGAGCTCTTGCCAGCTGGAGAAACGATCACTGCCAACAAGTATTGTCAGCAATTGGTCGAATTGAAGAAAGCAATTGATGAAAAACGTCCGATTTTGGCCAATCGCAAAGGAGTTCTTTTCCATCATGACAACGCCAGGCCACATGTTGCAAAACCGACCCTGGCCAAACTGAAGGAGATGAATTGGGAAATCATGCCGCATCCCCCATATTCACCCGACATTGCACCTTCTGATTATTATTTGTTTCGATCGCTGCAGAACAATTTGAATGGAAAAAAATAAAAAATGTGGAAGACGTCAAAAACCACCTTCACACCTTTTTCAACGAGAAACCGCGCGATTTCTATGAATCAGGCATCCATAAATTGGTTGAACGTTAGGAGTGGATTGCCAAACTGATGGCGATTACATAATTGATTAATAAAAGCGCTTTCTTCAAAAAATTTCACTTTTAGTTTGCACTTGAAATCGGGCACGAACTTATGCACTCATCAAATATAAAGTGCATTCTTCCATCATAATATTGTACAATAGTATTTAGTACCTTCTTACGTTCACTCTCAACCAATTCTTGGCAACAACTTTTTCGCTGAACTGCAAACTTTATTAAGGCTTACAGCGTTGTAATGTTGTAACGGTGTTTTTGCGTCTTGTTGGCAAGCACACTCAAATGAGAACAACTTGAACGCTGATGACTCTGCGGTGACAGCTGCAATGGCAATAAACACCGCTGCCGTTGCTCGAGAAAATAATGAGAAAGCGAAAGCAATCAAGCGTTGAAGCAAATAAGTTCCCTGCTCTGGCGTTTGACGCGCTCAGCTTAAGGCGAATGAGGCGCGCCACAATCGCAGCACGGCTTTCCGCTGAATTGCTGAAGTGGGACGGCTTGTGGAGAATGTCAAAGGACGCGCCGTGCAAATGACTACCTGAAGAGGTGGTCTATATATCGCAGCTGAGGTTTTTAGTTCTTTGTATTCGGTTGTAGTAGTGGTACTCAAGTCGCATGTGGCGCAGCTTCGTTGTTAGCAAATCTGTTGTTTTTTTTTGGAGAATGCTTCTGCTTTGTTCATTCACTGATCAGCAAATTCGATTGGATTTGGCTTTCGCTTACTCACTTTTCAGTTTGTTTTATTCAACGTTTCGCTCACTTTTGCTTGGGTTTCTTCGATTTTTTTTTTGGGTCTGTAGTCTGCCGCCCTGGCAACAGCGTTAATTTTTGCTGAAAGTAGATAAATGTAGAAAATAGATAATGCAAGTGGAAACATTTCTACATAGATATATGCTTTATGTGATATCAGTGAAATCATTATATAAATTTTGAGTTAATCTTTTCAGCGCAAGAAGTCAATGAAATGAAATATAATAACTGTGTAGAGAGTTTAGCAAAGAGCAAGGGTTAAATTATTATTTTTTTTTTATTTAAGAATTTGAATTTTTGATTTTATTAACTACAGTTTCTTAATTAGGAATGTTAAATTATTTGAGGTCCCTAAAAAATTAATGCGGACAATATGACGTTATGACATCTGTGCCTTCATCCCTTGGACAACGCGTTAAACGATACCTATCACACGTGCTTAGTCTGTACACGTGAGTGCTGCTATCGTCACAATAAAAAAACTCATTCTCTCACAAAAACCCTCGAGAATTTCATGAATTATTGACAATTTGAAGAACCTGCGGGAACGATAAGACATGAGCTGATTACTATTATTCATCACTTGCTGAGTTAATGGAAGCAACAGTTTTCCAGTAATGAAATTTCGTACACTTCATGCACCAAAACTTCGGAAAATTTTCCTTAGATATTTTTTTGGTCAAATAAAAATTACCTTAATTGATTAAAATTATTTCATTTGCACTTCCTTCGAACTGTGAACAAAATATTTGATATTCTCATTTTCCCAAAGCATCCGTATTCATCAGATTAAGTGTCAGCTGTGCTACTGTAATTGAGTTTTATACGAAAAACATGGTTGCATTGATGCTGCTGAGTATTCATATGCCAATAGATTCAAATTTCGCCTGTATCACATATATAGGGCGTAGTAAAAAGAAATCCATTATTTTTTCAGTAGTTGAGCGTATTTTTCTATATCGAGCCTTGTATACGTCCGATCGGGTTAAGCTAAATGGCATAAGAAAGATGAAATTTCGTATTAAAAAAATTGTTTGGCAGTTTTATTTTACAGTTTTTCTTCGATTAGGGTGAAAACACAAGCCAGGCGGCTGAATATATGAATAGTGTTTATGGCCCTGATACTGTTACAGTGAATCATGCACAACTTCGGTTTCATTTCAGTAATTTTGATGGAAAAAATGGTTTACGGATTGGAATGCCAATTGTCGAAAGTGTCGTCAAAATCAAGGACATGTTCGAGCCCGACCGTCATATAAGCACTGTATCGATTGCTCCAAAAAAACCCATTTGAATAAAGCTGGATACGGAACAAAATCGGTGGTGAAAGGAATCCATTTTGAGTCGATTAATGACATCCAGGCGGCCGTAACGAAATGTTGCGAAGAATAGAAAACGTGGGGGAATCGTTGGAAAATCGATCTATGAGGATTTCGTTAACTCAAACTGCCTTTTGTATAATGTTTAGCTCCTGGACGATCGAAGCATTGCTCGCTTGGACTCAGTGTGGAACATATTTCACATCAAAATTACCAGAGCGAAATCGACGAAACGAAAATTGTGCATTGCTGACAGTTATAGTATCGAAACCATAAATTCTTTTCCAATTTTCTGCTGTATATTTTTATTGTATAATATGACGATTCGTTGAGAGAAAATTTTTGGATTTTTGCAAATCTAAACCAAGCTACAACAGATAACAAGCAAAAGATAATTTTTAGAAAAAAGGTGAAAATTGTTAATACTAAATTTCACTCAAGTAGGAGAGTTAAGTCTAGCTGGAGGAAGCTTAAAGACCAGCACGGATTGCTGTTTGCTGAATTTTCGTTCAAAAAATACTCAACAATTTTTGCATATTTCTTTTTCATTTTTCAGGCATGAATTCAGTAGTTTAACCGGCACATTTGTCGAAAGCTGTGTAGTAATGGAACTCTAATGATAAATGTTCCTCCCTGTACGCACCGTTTAAAGCTTTTAAGTCTTTTCTACTCTCATAAGTCGTAAACAAATGTCAGGCCCATTGTTCGTGGTCAAACTTAACGGATCAGTTTACGATTCATGGCTCTTGTCTGAGGTAAAATTCATTGTTCCAACTCGTGTATCTAGGGGGTTTAGACCTTTATTGTTAAAGTCATGTAAAACAAATATGAACGGAATTAACCTTTTCACCGACTGTGACATGATTTGAATTAAATTTTTCCACGCCTTCCACTTTACAGACTCGCTAAAAATTGTTCTTGCTTCTCTTAGTATTTAAATTTTAAAATTCTTTATGTACTTAATTTCAGTTCAATTCAATTCAGTCTCAATTGAAAAATCCTTTTCTGTAACTGAACTGTTTAAAATCTCTACATCTAACAAATGCTTGCCAATCATGATTCGCCTCTCGTGTCAGTTAGGCGGGTGAGGTTATTAATATTATTTTGCAACGTATTAAGTATGATCAAAATTTTGTAAAAATTTTAAAAATCTTAGTTATTTTTTTAATTAAATATATATTCTAAAAGTGAATATGTATATACAAAAATTATTTATTTATTTTACTCACTTTTTTATTTTGATTTTTTAATAGCCCAAAATTCTTGGTACAGCAAAAAAATTATCTTAAATTTCTTTTAAGAATATAAAGTATTTAAAATTAATTTGAATTGTTTAAATTTTTAATTTTAAATTATATTAAAAATAATGGGATTGATTTATGCATATTTTTTTAAATAATATTTGTTTAATTGCAATATATATTTCTTTGTTTAAAGGCTAGTACGCCTTGAAAACTATATTGAGCGCAAAGAACTATTTTGGTTTAAGAATTTTGTAACTTTTTATAATTTTTTAAGTTATTAATAACAAATTCTACTTAGTAAAAACAGTAAAATGTTTTTTTTAACACTTAGCGCATTTTTTTTGTTCATATAGTTTGGCACTATTTTTATATATATATATTTTATAAAAATTTTTTTTTACATAGTAAATGTAAATAAATCCTTATTAAGTTGTTTTAAGGTTACTTTAAACTTTTTTTTTGTAAATTTTTCGCTTTTTAAATGTGTTTCTCCATTTTTTAAACTTTTTTTGAATTTCATAAATTTTTTTCAACGCTCAACAGAGTCTGCTTCACATAAAAATAAATCACTTTTTCTATCTCAACCGTCCAAAGCTCACTTTGCTGTTTGGTTAATACCCCAACATCAGCAATTATTTCACTTTTATTGCCAATAAATTAATTAAAATACCAACTCTGTTGTATAAAGCGCGCGCGCGTCGCACATTTTATTCCCTTTGGAACGCGTTAAAGGTCAAGAAGTGTTTTCGACCGTGCTTTTCTAGGCCACGTTTGGCTTGTTGTGTTGTTAGCAAACGACTGATTTGTACCAAAGGCGCGAAAGCCGCAAATAAAAGTTCGCATAAACAGCAAAGCAGTGGCATAAAAGCAAGTGAAGAAGGAAGAAATAATGGATAAAAGCACAAACATTGAAAATAGTGAAGAGATAACACACACAAACGAACACAGACTCGCACATACACGTACACAAACAAAAGCTATCAAACGAATTGCCGATAAGGAAAATAAGCGCCGAAAAGCAACAGTAGCAAAGGGAAAATGAAGAAATGGCTAGTGGAGTCGGCATTTTGTAGCGAGTAAAATTTGAATGAATGTTTATTTCAAACAGCGAGTAACGGTTAGCCGACGCAAGCGCTTGACTTGTGTTGGTTAGCGTGAACAGCTGATTTGGCTGTCAATGACAGCAGTAGCAGCGGCAACAGCAACAACAACAGCAATAATGTGCGTTCGTATAAAAATAAATAAATAATATTTATAAATAAATATAATAATAACAAAAACAACAGCAACTGGATACTTACGCACGCACACACGTATATATAAATCTTTGTATTGTTGCTGCTCTGCACGGCACTGGAATTTGGTGAACTTTTCCATGCTGTGCAACTTTTACAACAATAAAGTGAGCTTTTTGTGTTTGGGAAATAAAATACACATTTGCCTTTATTTTCGCCGCTTTATTGTTGCCTGCTGGACTATTGCGTGTATATAATCACGTACATATGTACATATATTAGCCACCACATGCTGGGTTATGACCCATTGAAGCAAGATTTTTTCCGTTAATTCGACAATTGACCAACAAAGGTGAGCATGGTGTTTATGGTTGAATGACAAAGTGTTGTTGTTGCATGAGTTTTTCCAGCTGTTTATGGCTTCAAAGCAGAATGAAGTAAACAAAAGTATTGAATTATTGTTTATGTTTTAACTTTGAAGATGTAATAATTAATATGAATATGTACATATGTATTTATTGGTTATATGTATGTTTAGGCATTGATTAAATTTTTTTCACTATTTTGTTACGTGGGGTCATATCATTTGTCTAATAATGGGAACCAGCTGATTTTGAAGCAATTTCATTTGGCTAATTGATTCACTTTTTATTGAATTTTTTCACATTTTTTGATAAATTTTTCAAAATATTTTTTTTTTCAGTTTATTTTATAAAATCCAAATTTAGAGAATTAAAGTTGTCGAACATTGTAATGGTATTTTTAAAATTTTAAGTCATAACTAAAAAGCTCACGCTTACAGAATGTATTTTTTCCTATTTTTATATTCAAAATTAAACTGGATTTTTTCAACTTTAAAATGAGCCCGCCTCGGAAATAACACACTTACCCCAGTATTCATTTAAGTCCTCGAAGCAGTTTTAATATGCAATTTTTGTATGCCCTTGAGTTTTTCCAGCGTTTCGGATACACAATCATTGCAATGCACCATCAGCATCAAATCTGTTGAATATGGATAATGATAATAGGTTGTTGTTTTTGGCAAGAATATTATGGAGAATCTGAATCAAATCGCACCGGAGAATCCGAGAAAAATTTTTTCTAATTTCTGAGCATTGTTTTCCATAATATTTTACCTAAATTGGCTTTGCCGGTTTTGTTGTAATATCGCTTGATGCACTATGCCGTGACGACAGACGAAGAGAGTAAGGAAATCTTTGGTGTTTGATCGATTTCGGCCTACTTTTTCTGTTACTTCGGAAAAATTGGGGATCAATTAACTGCGCACATCCTCGCTAACTTGTCTGAAAGGGATTCTACAATAACATTTTGTCTTAACATTTTACTCTGTCCTTGATATTCTGAGAGGTCAAAACCGAGCGCCCTTATTCACATTTTATTTTCAGGACCCTATTGCTTATAAATTTCATTTTTTAATTGTTGTATAATCGTAGTAGAGTTGCTTAGAAATCTTGACTCGAAATGATAGTCAAAAAAGAAAAAAAAGATAAAAGAAACATAAATTAAATACGGTTGATAGTAGTACAGTGGTCAAAAATTTAATGAAAATTCCTCCAAATATACACATATTACATAAACATACGCATGTTTAAACACACTTTGCAAATAACATGATTCAGTTTAATGGAATGTGTAAATGATAAGAAATCATATGTTGCATCCAGTTCGAAGGAGAAAACTTCCATTTGAAAATGAACAATGAACTGATAACGCAACTCAATACAATATGCAATTCCTATACAAATATGGGTAGAAATGTAAGGCACAGTCAATTGAAACTTTTTTAAGTACATGTATGAACATACCGGAGCTTTCACAAAAGCTGCTGTTAAAGCTTCAAAAGGAGTATGTTAACTCAGTTACCAAAATATATAGAAATGAGATTATCTTAACGGTCAT